ACCCAGCGTCATCTCTCCCACAATCAACCAATTTACAACTATTAAAAAGCAATGCCTGCTAAGCTGGAGCTGCTAGAGCTCAGGGAAAGAGAAGAGACCTACAGAGTTCATCAAGGCAGGAAAAGCCACAATGAGAGAAAGGACCGCTCCAACCGTTTCAAGCCCCAACTTCAAGGCTGGCCCTGGTGAGCACATGGAGCAAGAGCTGGCGAAAGCTGCTGCTGTGCCCGTTGTATGAAGTTTTTTGGAGGCTGCAAGGGAGAAGAGGGCCTTGATGGTCCCCCAGGCCAACAAGACCACTAACAGGGTTCCCGTGGACCCACAGAAGAGTGAGGGGCCACAGACAGCTGAAAAGAGGAGCCACTCAGATGCCAGTGATGGGAAGTGTTTGGAGTGCGAGGGGTGGGGGAGACTGGCTCACTGGGGGAACACTAGGGCACAGCACGGACAGCTGATCTGCCCTCCAATCAGCACAGGACTACTCAGTGAAGACTGGTCAGGAATGTAGAACTGCAGGGGATACAGGTTGCTGAAAAGACTCAGGCCCAGACTAGAGTTTCTATGCCATCCAAGTGTATCAGACTTCACAAGACCCGGAAGTGCTTACAAGGTCAATGATTAAAAACCGAGCTGCACAAAAAGCCTTCCTCAGAGAATCAGCAGCAAAGCGGCGATTTAGCTCAACCACAGGGCTCAAGTGCTGATTGCCACTGGAAGTTCCCCTGTTTTAAAAGTAACCAGAGGACAACAGATTAGTTCCAGTGCAGGATTTAAATGGTGGGATAGCGAATAATCCAACACAGAACTTAAAGAAAAAACAAAACCCACAGATCAGAGACAAAGTTCTGATATTAACTACTAAAGGTCTAACACCACCACCAAAGAACACCTATAAAACCTAGAAGGACCAGAAGCCCTCAGGGGTCCCAAGGAACTCAGCCATGCCCCCCTGATGTCTGCATCCATGACGACCACCAGGCTGCCACTGGAAGCGCCCTGGGCTCCTGAGCTAGAGTGGTGGGTGGCCAAGGGCCTCAGTCACGACCCCCTGACATCCACATCCAGCCCAGCAATGACCACCAGGCTTTTGCCAGAAGCACCCTGGGCTCCTGAGCTGGGATGGTGGTGGGAGTCCAACTGCCTCAGCCATGCCCCGCAACATCTGCATCCAGCCCAGTGATGACTGAGCCACCACTGGAAGCCCCTGGGCTCCCCTGCCAGAATGAGAGGGGTGCCACAGGCCTCGACCATGTCCTCTGCTTCCTCTTCCTCCCACCCTATCATCCTCCCTTTTTCCCTCCCTCTCTCTCCCCCAACTGCTCTGCAAAATCTTAGAATATTAATAATAATAATAATAATAAATAAATTTAAAAATAAATAAATAAAACAACAGTGGTATACTACTACACATCTACTATAATGCCAAAACCCAGAAAACTACCACCACCAAATGCTGATGAGGATGGGGAGCAATCCTTTATTGCTGGTGGGAATGCAAAATGGTACAGTCACATTGGTGCTACTTGATCAATAGTTTGGTGGTTTCTTATAAAACTAAACATATTCTTAGTATTCAATCCAGCGTTTGTGCTCCTTGGTATTTACCCAAAGAAGCTGAAAACTTACATCCAGGCAAAAACCTGCACATGGATATTTATAGCAGTTTTATTCATAATTGCTAAAACTTGAAAGCAACCAAGATGTTCTTCAGTAGGTGAATGAATAAACTGTGGTATATCCAGACAATGGGATATTATTCAGTGCTAAAAAGAAATGAGCTTTCAAGCTATGAAAAGACATGGAAGAAATTTAAATGTATATTACTAAGAGAAAGAAGCTGATCTGAAAGGCTCCATACTGTATTATTCCAACTATATGACATTTTGAAAAAGGTACAACTATGAAGACAGTCAGAAGATCAGTGGTCAACAGGGGTTAAGGGAAGGGAGGGATGAACAGGTAGAGCACAGAGGGTTTTAGGGCAGTGAAACTATTTTACATAATACTATAATGGTAGGTACATGTCATTACACATTTGTCAAAACCCTATAGAATGTAAAACACCAAGAGTACACCTAATGTAAACTATGGGCTTTGGGTGATGATGTGTCAAAACAGGTTCATCGATTGTAACAAATGTACCACTTTGGTGGGGGACAGTGATGATGTGGGAGGCTCTGCATGTGTGGGGACAGGGAGTACACAGCAAATCTCTGTACCTTCCACTCAATTTTGCTGTGAACCTAAAAATGCTCTAAAAAATAAAGTCTATTAAAAAAATTCAGAGAATAAAAAAGAGCTCTTGATAGCTGATACAAATCTCCAAGCATGGGGAAATAGAGTCTAAGCATTTCGTAAGTGTACATAAGTAAATTTCCTAAATGTATTTAAAATCTTTCTAGACAGATCATTTTTCAGAACTGCTGTTTCCACTGGATATACTTTGGAAAAAGACACTGGAGTAATAATTATAAATTTAAAAACTAAATTGGCAGAAATGGAAAACACAGCATAAAGTTTGGAAGATATGGTTGAGGAAAACATGAAGAAAGCTGAACAAAAAGACAGAAAGAACAGGGATAAGAATAAAGAGGGAAATGAATATTAGAATATCAGTTTGAGAAGTCCAACATCTTAGCAATAGGTATGCCAGAAAGAGTGAAGAAAGAAAAAGGAGTGGAAGAAAATCATTGAGGAAAGAATTTAAGAAAATTTCATAAAACGAAAGTGTCCAGTATGGTAGGTGAAAATATACATCCAAGGCGAAATTTCAGAATACTGGGGATGAAGAGAAGCTTCAAAGAGAATAAACAGGTTTCATAAAGGATATAAATCTAAGAAAAATCGACCTGAGAAAACAAAGACATGGGAAAGAGCAAACTGGGAATCTAACAGAAAAAAGACATGAAGAGAATCTAAAGGAACACAGAAGGCTCCAGGGAAGATTTCTTCTGGAGTATGACATAAGTAGAATATATAATATGCTTGATCATAAAGAGAGATATATACAGTAGGAAGAGTGTTTAAGGTTGAATTAATAAGTATACAGAAAAATAAAGACATAATGAAGAGAACAACAAGATTTCCCCTGAAAACAAAATGTTGTGTAACAAAGGAAAAGTAATCATAGCATATACTACATGGCTTAGTTGAGAATAGCATTTAACTAATTATAATGACTAAACACTGAATTTTGATGTAATCAAAATTATGATATCATGGAATTGGGGTAGGGAAGTATGTGTGGGTGGGGTAAGGGGCAAGGAAATTAAGAGTTAAATCCTCACCTTCTAAAGTGGGTAGTCAGTAGAAAAATGTCTAAAGCTAAAAAGTATAGCAATATAAACATGCTATTTAGATACATGAAGGTAAAGAAAAAAGTAAGTTGAATTGAAAGTGATGCCTCTGGGGAAAAGTTATTGACAGAGGCAGGGAGGGGCTGTTTGTTTTGTTTTTGTAATAAGTCTTATAGACTTTGTTCCTTTAAACTATGAACATGTGTTTAACATGAGAAAAATAAAAATTTTAAAAGTGTACAATTTAAAAATGAAGGGTAGGTAATAAAGGATACAGTGTGGCATACAGCATTCAATCTGTTAGCTCCGTTAATATTTGAAGGGACTTTAAAGACAATCTGGACTAATCCTATCATTGTACAGATGTGTAAACTGAGGCTCAGACAGGGAAGTGATATCAAGGTCACACAGAGTGAGCCAAGGCCCAGTCAAAACACGGTGACACAGTGATCAGTAAAGACTGCTATAGCATGACCATGAACAGGAGACAGAGATATTCAGAATATGTTCCCACTTTCCCTAGGCTGAGAGATTCAGGCCAAGGGAGAAATTCTAGCCTAGTGGTTGCAGTTCACATCATTTAAAAGGAACAGTAAGGTATAGTCATGAAGCCCCTGCTGCTGTGGGTCTTCTATGTATTGCTGAAAGGACACATTAGGCACCTAAGTCGTATCTAGAATGATATGGGGTAAACCAAGCGGATATATAGGCATCTGGGGGCATGTCATGAAATTGGAAAATGTAATCAATATTTTCACCAATGTGCTCATCGGTACTTACTTTCTTGTCCTTGGAGCTCAGGGGCTAAGTCCTTTATTCATTAATCTAATGACACTCCTGGACTAAGCAGACCCAGTAACTGGCAGGAGCTAGGTGCAGATGATATCTTTGGAGAAATCGTGTGATAGGACTTTGACTAGAACTGGACATACATGCTACAGGCAGGCTATCATCTTCTAAAGGTTATTTGAAGAGAAAAGCATGGCTGGGCCTTCCCTTCAAGCTCTAACATGCTAGGATGTGGATAGACATACTAAACTCCTAAGAGAAAGATCACCCTAACTTCCATGGGAATCATTCCAATTGCTTAGACTTCTCTGAAGAAGATGGAATGTCTGCAGAATAAAAGAGCAAGGTCTCACATATATATTTTAATTAACACATAAAAAATGAGTATTGTTCTTTATAGTTACTTCATTGGTAGGCTGTATATCTATTCTAAAGGGGTAGTTCTTTTAGAGTTACCTTTATAGTTTATGAAATTGGAACAGATAGGCATAATCTAGGTTGATTATCCAACACTTCAGCCAGTAGATTTTGCTTTGAATCAACCATTCATTGGTTGATCTCCAAAATCAAGTTCACTCTCATTATACCAAGGTCTGCCACCATCAATGATAGTTAAAAAAAAAAAAAAAAGAATCAAAGGAATTTTATACTTAAGTATTTGAGTTGTGCCAGCAGAGGAATTTTATACATAAGTATTTGAGTTGTGCCAGCATTACTGGAATACTGGAAGGGTTCTGGAGGTGGAGAGGATCACTAAGAAGAGAACATTCCTGACTGGGAAGGATGAGTATTATTCTAAACTGGGCCAGGGAATGCTTACCCCTGGACAGGGGGCTAATTACTGGCACAAGACGAGAAAGAGCAGACACTGGGGGCCTGGGACTTATTGCAGCTAGTCCCGTCATCTTCTCTTACCTGTGGGGGCCTGCATGGCTGAGCTGGGGATGGTGGCAGCATCTTGGGGTACAGTGCTGGTATCCGGTTCAGGGGTGCTGGTTGTTGGTGAGGTGGGTGGTGGGTTCAGCAAAGTCCGAGGTTTCCTCTGTCAAAATGGATGGGGAAAAGTTTGCTACCCAAGATAGGTAACTTGTCTTCTCATTCCTCTATTCCTAGCATTTAACTCACACATGAAGTGAAAATATATTTGTGGATGAAGCTGTGTTTTATCTTTGTTTTCTATGTAGCAACTGGCCCCAAACTATACAAACAGGAGATGCTTAGTAAACGTTTTCTGAATCTATGTATGTGATTCTGGTCTTTTGTAGAGCCAGAGCTTAATGTATGGTCTTTTACACTAGATTCAATATTATCATTTGAAGTTCCAGATCTTTATTAGTTGGGCAGACAAAAGCAAAATGCAAAAAAAAAAAAAAAAAATGCTGTGGCTTAAATCCCCATTGATATTACTTTGCACTTTGTTTCTCTCTCTTTAAAAATGGAAATGACCCTTCTCTTCACTCTACAAATTGCTTTCCTCTGTCCACCTCCCTCTTCAGCTCATTACCTGCCATTCCTTCCCTTAAACCCTCTACTATAGTAATCTCTAACTATATTACTTCTCTAAAAACCCTGAAGTTTTACCTCGTACACACCTTTATAATAATAAGCTGTTCCTTCTGTATAAAATGCCCTTTCTTCTTTTCTTTACCTTACAAATTTCTGTTCATTTAGGAAGCTTTTCTAGTTTTCCTTTAATTACTGTCTCTTTTATGCTACCTCTATACTTTGTGTTGTTGAATTTGTCAATGTACATTCTGATGTCCCATATTAGCCTGGAGCTCCTTGATGGTCTGATTCTGAGAACCTTTCCTAATATGGTACTTGGCATTTAGTAAGTGTTAATAAATGTTTTCCATGAAGCATATGGTATAGATCACCAACAATGGGGGAAGTAATAAAGATGATTTGAGAGAAATCTAATATTTCCCCTATACTGTTCCGGGCAGTCTCTGGGGAAAAAAGATTTCAGAACACTCTTTTGAAGAAATAGTTTTCTAAAAGCCTTTCTGAATGCAAGGAAAACACAAGCATCAATGAGATCCAGAAGACCCTTTTTATTAAATACCTCATGTAGTGAGTGCTGGGAGCTGTATAAACCTGTCTGCCTTCTAGGAGTGTATTGTTTAAAGAGATAGCACTGATGACAGCCAACATATACACATAAGATGGCCTTGCCTGTGAAAGCAATCATGCAAACCCGCATGAAGCATTCAAAACACACACTGGACACAGACATATCTGCTTGTTTATTTTATTTTATTTTATTTTTTTAAAATAGCTAAAAGTGAAAATCCAAATAAGTAATGAGTCGGGGAAGTAGGGAAAATACCAGTTTAACTTCAGTGAGTTGGTAGGATTTCATGGGGTCCCCGAAGGAACAAGCCTGGTGAGTTAGGTACCTGAATATTGCCAAAGAAAACAGAAAGATGAAAGGCATTATTACTGTCTGAGATGGGTGCATTTACATGTATTATATCTATTTATATATTATTTTATCTCCATTTTATAGGTGAGAAAACTAGGGCTCAGAGTCCTAAAGTCACATCGGTGATAACAAATGGAGATGAAATCTAAACCTAAGGCTGTCAGGCTTCAAATCCTATGCTCTAGTCACAAGACTACTTTGCTTCAAAAAGGAATATAAGGCTTATGGGTGAAGTGGAAGGCATATATACTTGTAGGAGTAGGCAAAAGAACAGGAAGGGAAATTAAGGAGTCAAATGCCAGGATATAAAATACAGGATGAGACGAAAATGGTTGTTTTCAAGAGGGTTGGAAAGAAAGTGGCTACTGTGTTCAAGACCTCCTGAGGAAACAGAGCAGAGGCAATCATAGAATCACACTTTTTAGGTTTTGAAGGTTCTTAAAGGCCATTTAATCCAACGATCAATCCAATACTCCTACCTCCCTATATAAAATACAGGATGAGACGATCCAATCCATCTAATACTTCTACTTCCCTATATAAAATACAGGATGAGACGAAAATGGTTGTTTTCAAGAGGGTTGGAAAGAAACTGGCTACTGTGTTCCAGACCACCTGAGGAAACAGAGCAGAGGCAATCATAGAATCACACTTTTTAGGTTTTGAAGGTTCTTAAAGAATCCATCCAATACTTCTACCTCCCTATATAAAATACAGGATGAGACGATCCAATCCATCTAATACTTCTACTTCCCTATATAAAATACAGGATGAGACGAAAATGGTTGTTTCCAAGAGGGTTGGAAAGAAAGTGGCTACTGTGTTCAAGACCTCCTGAGGAAACAGGGCAGAGGCAATCATAGAATCACACTTTTTAGGTTTTGAAGGTTCTTAAAGGCCATTTAATTCAACAATCCATCCAATACTTCTACCTCCCTCTCCCTGAAAACATTACTTATGTAGAGTCACCTAGTCCCTGATGAAAAATTTCTAGTGACAAGAGTTTACTATTTCCATTCTGGGATAGTTTTAACTGTTCCTTTTATGTTGAGATAAAGCTATCTGCTTGAGTTTCTCCTTATTGGTTCTGGTTCTGTCTTTAGAGCCACCCAGATAAGTTTTCTCCACCTTTTGACTGTCCTCAAGATGTATTCACATCATCCAAACCATGGCTTCTCTGGCTTTGGAATCTTTAGTAATTTCAGCCTCTCTTCTACAACATCAGAATGAGAGGAGAATAATGGAGACAAAAATGAATCAGACCCAGGTTAGGGGTTAGTGGTAATAGATCAGAAGGAACATTATGTGTTACACAGGAAGATCAGGAAGTGACATCAAAAATTTAAAGCACAGAGGGAGTACACTGCATGTACTCACTCATATGTGGGAGCCAAGCGAGAAAGAAGGAAGGAAAGAAAGACTACCGTAGTACATTGGACTTGCAGAGGGAGAGAACATTCCTTGGGCTACAAAGTGGAGTGGGGGAGAAGGGGGAGGGAGAGGGAGGTTGGGGATAATTGGGTGGGGGACACAGGGTACAAATGCAATTTTTGGTAATGGGTATGTTGCCAGTACGAATCTGGCCTTCACATCATGGGCACAAGGGTGACAATCAGCTTTGTTTCTCATGGATATTCATAACCGATAAAAAAATTCAAAGCCAATAAATAAGAAACAACTGAGACTGGTGACATCATCACTAAAATCATCCAACCATCCACCCATCTATCTACCTACCCACGCATCCACTGTCCCACCCATCTTGCATATACTGAACAGGTACCAAGAGACTGAGATACAAGGCACTGTAGGAGAAACAGAGAAGAAAAAGATTAGGTTCTTGGGCTTGAAGGGTTTATATTCCATAAGGACTGATGTCAGCTGGAGCTAAGAAATAGACAAAACAAGCAAACAGATCCATCAACCAACCAACCAACCAACTGTAGAGAAGACTTTGTGAGACTGGAATGGAATGTCTAGGGATAACTGGGTATCATTTCCACATCAGAACTTAAGTATTGTAGTTCAGGAAGGAGATTTGGAGAAATAGTTAGGAAGTGAGCGGAGGAGGTAATGTGCTAAAGGGGGCCCTAGAGAAGCTGCTGAAGAACCTTCTTTTCATATCAGCGCTTTCCCTAGGGAAGATATCCATGAAAAACTGGCCATGACTAAGAGGCAGTACTTTCAGTAATGTTGTTCAGTGAAGTTTAAATCAGCAATCTTTTCCAACACTAGAGGTAACCATTATGTCCGTTAGGAAATGTGAGAGTGAATATGTGGTAAGGTAGCAGTGACCTTGGAAGTAGAAGATTTGGGCACCAGTCACTACAGTCTTTGCCATTCACTAGTTCTATGACCTGAGGGAAATCATTTCTCATCTCTAAGTCTCAATTGGCTTAACTATAAAATAATGTTAACACTACTTATCTTCTAGAGTTTCGTAAAGATCATGTGATATGTATATAATGGTATCTAAAACAGAGTTGACACTTAGTGGGTATTCAATATTTTTCTTAAGGAGTAGGGATAGCAAAAGAAATACATTTATAGAGTCGATTCGCTCTTTCTGTTCACATGCTGGGCATTTACTCCATGAAGATTAATAAGAAGCAGGGCCTTCCATTTATGGAAGACATTAGACTAGAGTCCCCTTGAATGGGAGTAACTGTCAAAGTCAGAATTTCCTTGTTATCCCCACCATCCTATCTCTAATATTACCAACTCCCAAGTAAGTAGTTAAGTAGGGATGATAATCTAGGAGATTCCTCTTAAAAGTATACACAAGGTGGAGAATAAGGCCAGATATGCCCCTTTCCAAGGCAGATGGACATGGATGAATTACCCTGTTATAGCCCCTTATCCCTTTATGGGAAACCCACATTTTTACCTACCTTACTGCCAGGTTTGGGACCCCTCTTCTTTGGGAATTTCAAAGGTTCAGCTGACTTGGATGGGGTAGAGATGGGATGGGGAATTAGGGTCTTGGGTGTCCGGCCCCGCTTCTTTCCTGGTTTACGACCCCTCTGTCCTGGTTGATGCTCCAAGACAGTTTTGGTGCTGCTGTGGATGCTGGGCTTCTCAGTGTTCACATCAGACGCAGGGTAGGGATTCTTTGGAATCACAACTGCAAGAGAAAGACTCATTTTATCACCCCCTCCTACTCATATATTCCCATCCCAGCGAGAAGTAAAAAAAGGACTTGCCACTTCTGCTCAGGTAGTTTTTTTTTTTTAATTTTTATTTTGTCAATATACAATGTATATGATTATTATGGCCCTTCACCGACACCTCCCGCCCTCCTCCCTCTCTCCCCTCCCCCCCAAGAATGTCCTTTCCGTTTGCTTGTTGTAACAACTTCAAAAAAAAGTATAGTAGTTATATCTTCTTCCCCACCCCCCACCCCCCGGCCTTTTTTTTTTTTGTGTGTGGTTTTTTGGGGGTAATTTATTTTTTTTTTTTTTTTTTT